CTCTCTCTCTCTCTCTCTCTCTCTCTCTCTTCCCCCACTCCCCCCTCTCTCTCTCTCTCACTCTGTTTTAAATCTTTCAGTATCTCGAAACTCGCTTTCGAAGTAAGTCTGCGTACGTCATTGAGTGCCTCTGCGAAGGAATCTTACTCGCGAGGCACGTACCCCATTCATGAAAGAGTCGTCGCAGGGTCGAGCGTGTCGGTGGGAGGCGCAGGTGACGAATTAGGTTATGTGTTGCGACATACGATGCGAAGTATGCGCTCGTAAACATCGCATTTTGCGCCGTGCGTTTTGCGCCGTGTAAAGTGTTAATTCGACACGCGTATACGTGCGCGTGTGTGCGCGCGCGCGTGATTGCGTGCGTGCGACTCGGGGAGGCTGCGTGTTTACACAAGCGTGCGCTGCCGCAGAGGCGTGTAGCGTGCCGCCTATTATCCGTGAGGGAGGGACAGCGCGTCGCGAGCAAATCACTCGACTCCTCGCATCCTCGCAGTCCGGCCATCGCTCAAGGAGACCGGAGGAGACGTCCGTCGATCGCGAGCGCGTTGCGCGTTGCAAACTCGCAACCGCCGAGTATATACCGAGTCGCGAGTGTGCGAGGTGTTTGCTCGCCAGTGGAATGTCGACGAAACGTCACTCGGGAGAGATATCCAGAGATATTCCGTCGCGAGTAATCGTTTGTGTTCTTTAATTGTCCCGATTGCGCAGCCCGATTAAATTCCTTCGGTAAAGTCGTCGAGTCGCGTGTCGCACTTGGACGGCGTACGACTAAGCGATGAGATTAAGCACTTGTAGCTTGCAATTCGGATAGCGCAAAGGTGAACATAAGTTCTTAGAGATTCCTCTTGAGAAATTAAATAAAGTTCACAAGGCTCACATGTGACAAACACAAATTCGCAGGGACAAGGACTAACGAGCCGTGACAGGATAATAGTGTCTAAATAATTATAATTTTAAACAATAAAATTCATAAGGCTCTAACGTCAAGTCACAATTCAAAGGAATGAAGGATATAAGAACCGAGACAGGATGTTAGTGTCTGAACAATTGTAATTTTTAAATTTGTTATGAAAGAATTTACCTCGGCCAAGGTCATTTTCAAGAATACCTGGAGAATTGGAAAAATGCAATTCGAAGAATTCGCGAACAATCAGCCACAATTAGTTTGTCCAAGTCCTCAGAAGTTGATTGTGATAATTTCCTCAATTCTGATTTTATTCTTCTATGAATTCCTAGAGAATTATAATTCAGGAAAGGAGAGGACTTGGAGCACACCTGCAAATTCGCTATGCTATAGTTGGGAAGCAGATTCGAAATTGATGGCGTAGTTTCTTCAAGCTCTCTATGATTACCTCAAAAAATAAAATGGTGCTTTCTAGTAGACTCAAACCTGGACGAAATAGGCTTGAACCTTCGATAAATACCTTGAAAAGCAAGAGTGTTACTTGCAAGTGGACTCAAATCGGGATCAAATATGTTTGAATCTTACACGAGTACTTTACTAGAAAGAACCCCGCACTAATCGTATAGGAAATTGGATCTCGGTTAAATTGGCTAGTTTTCACATATGTTGTAGCTTATGACCTGCTAAACAAAAAATATAATGGGCTCAAACTTAAATAATGGCTAGTTACTGAGCTACAGCTAGTCAAACATAGAAAATTTGGGCTCCGCGGGTCTTGTTTGGAAATACTTTGAAGCATATTAGGAAAAAATGTTTCAATTTCCTATATGATTAGTGCGGGGTTCTTTGAAGGACAAGGACTAACGAGCCACAACAGAATGATAGTGTCTAAATAATTCTTGGTTTAATCAAAATAAAATTCATAAGGCTCTGACGTGAAATCACGATTCAAAGGAATAAAGGATATAAAAGCTAAGATAGGCTGTTAATGTCTAAATGATTTTTTAATTGAGACATTTGAATGTATTGTCCATAGGTCCCTATAGTAGTATAGTACAATATATTTTGGCACAATATTGGGAAATAACATAAATCTAGTATTTCCAACACTGGTCCAAGGTTGTAAGATGGATGCCTCCTTATTTAGTGAATATGCCTATTCAGTAATATTGATCTAATATTGTATCAATATTAGACCCCAATATTTATATTACTTTGCTAAATATTGGTCAATGAACTTCCAATATAAATATAATATTATCTAATTATTATAAATGCAATATTTGCATTTGTTTCATAGCCAATATTGGCTTTACATTGAGAAATATTGGCCAATGCATTTCCAATATAACCAATGTTGGGTTAGTGTTTAGCTAATGCTCAGCCAATGCAATGTGAGGATGGGTAGATACTTAAAGTATCCACATATGCACCCATATAAATATACACGAGACTATACACGAGACTAAATGAGTATGTAGCAAATACTGCAAGTAAATAGAAGTGTGCCTTATTCGGGCTGGATCTTAAACAAAGTCTTTAATTTAAATTGACGTTTCGGGACCAGCAAGTAATCGGCATGTAGTTTACTAGAACAGAAAAGTGTATATAAATTCACACGAAAATATTATCAAGTACAAAACGTCCAGTCGGTGTGGTAACATTTGTAGTTATTTAGTAAATTAAAATTGTGTAAACACGGTGAATGTAAATAAAGTTGGGGTCGTTTTTCATATCTGTTAAATATTATTGGAGACTGATAAAACTTATAGTTATACATCCCAGCAAACACCAAAGTAACAATTACATAACATCAATGCAAATGTAATACAACAGGCATGTGTTATATTACATTTATAATGATGTTATGTAACCGTTACTTTGGTGCTTGCTGGGATATATCGTCCGTGTCTTGCAAGAAAATTACTGTATAATTAATAGCACTCGTACAATTTTTTTCGTGCTGCTTCTGATATTACTCATGATAGAGATAATTTCTTATATTTATCCATGTTGAACAATGATATTGATGTTATCTCTGTGAATCATGCGAGATTAAGTTGAGAAAGACATCAATGAGATATAAGTAGAACAAAGCTTGTAATATGATTAATATCGCCTTCTTAGATTTAGATATTGGAATGAGGAACGCATTTTCGAGAGTAAAGATGTTTTTCATGTGTTTTTAAAGATTCTTTAGTTGGCGAGTATATGTATCCAAAGGATACGAGGAGAAACGGAAATATGGACAGAGGTGCTACCTACGCGGGAGGTGATAACCACCTACTCGAATACTGGGAAGAATATCAGAAAATGATAGAGGAGACAAAAATGCTGGATGATTATTTGGACGAAGAGTGCAGCCCTCGTAGTTATGATGGTATGTATCGTTACGAGATAACTCATTACATGTTATGGATAATGTAAATATCTTAATTAAAGATTATTATTTGAGCATTAACAGGTGTTCTTTTTTATAAAAAAAAGATTGATAAAATTACTTTATTCTTCAGGTTCAAACAGACGTTTCGGCTGCACTGAGCCTTCTTCAGTATATAAAACAAAATTCGCATACATCGAAATAAATTAACGCATTGTCGGCAGTGGAATTTTTAATCAGAACAACTTCTTTCTGTAACGCGATGTCATGGAGATTCAGTCGATTTCAGTCAAAAGCCAGATTTCGAGAGATGAACAATGGAATCGATGGCTGCGCTTAAATCTTCAATAATTCTAGAAAGGGCTACAAAAACGGGAAAACATTTGAACAGCCGATCGAAAAATGGAAAACTAGCACCTAGGACCAATTTATTCTCGTCTCCCAACGAGTATACGTCGGATTCATAGGTGAAATCGACTGAACTTCCATGACATCGCGTTACAGAAAGAAGTTGTTCTGATTAAAACTTCCACTGCGGACAATGCGTTAATTTATTTCGATGTATGCGAATTTTGTTTTATATACTGAAGAAGGCTCAGTACAGCCGAAACGTCTATTTGAACCTGAAGAATAAAGTAATTTTATCAATCGTTTTTTAAAAAAAAGAACACCTGTTAATGCTCGTTAATTTGGCCTTTCAGTAATTATGAATTGTTAATACAATACACGAGCGTAAGATAATCTCTCTCTTTTTCTAATTATTATTTGAGATTTTAAAAAGAGTATATAAGAGAATTGTAAAAACCGCACACACGCACACAAAACAGATTGTGCTGCAATATAACGTCAATGTATTTAAAATGAGATAAATGTTTTATGTTTGAAATTTTTCTTCAGAAGGAGAAGCGGAAGCTGAATGGTTACGCGCGGCAGGTTTAGGACAATTAACGGAGGCATGGAAAGCAGGCAGAGAGGTACAACCTGAGGAATTGGGAGCGGCCTTGCGTCCTTTATCGCGAGTCCAAGCAGAAGCTGTGAAACGGCGCGTGAGATCACTTAATCACACAGTTAAGCAACGTTTTAATCAACGCCAACGTGTCCGCAAGCCAGACATTAGGAATGTCTTTAAAGATGTAGAGGTATATTGACAAATTAAATATTAGACAATTAAAATATCTTTAATTGTAACATACCTACTTAGAAAATGAGTCACGAGACAATAATGAATAAGCGAAACTATAGATGTTAAGAACAAACAATATGTTTATGCTAGCAAATTAAAAGAAAAACATTTCTTTCTCAGAAGGTTTCGGACTTCACAGAGCCTTTATCAGTTGGATACGTGTGATATATTCATCCTCCACCGCTCGCGCGCGGACTCCAGTTCGCGCAAAAAGTTTACGTATAATTTGCGATAAGGACTGATTACTACTTGCGTCGTCCCTATACTTTCTTAGCATATATTACTGCATATTCATACACATTTTAAAGAGCAAGTGATCGTTTGATCTAAAGGTATTTATACTTGCAGACTCTGAGTATTCACGTTTATTTGCGGCAACTGTTTTGATAGTATCGAAAATTTAAATAAAAGTTGAAATAATGTTTCTGCAAAATATTACTTAAACTTTTTTAATTTTTAAAGCAGTCGCTGCAAATAAACGTAAATACCTGCTGCGGACTCGAGAGTCCGCAAATACAAATAACTTTAGAATTTTAGATCAAACGATCACTCTTCAAAGACCTGGTTTTTCATTTTCTGGTTAACTGTTAACCAAAGGTCAGTCAATGTTCTGTCTCTTCTTAGATAATAATGCAGACAAAAATAGTTAATCTCTGGTTAACAGTTAACCAGAAAATGAAAAGCCGGGCAAAAGTGTGCGCTAATATGCAGTAACACATGCTAACAAGAAGGTATAGAAACGGCGCAAACAGTGCGGTAACGGGTCCTTGTTGTAAATTATATTATATTAAAACAACTTTTTGTACGAACTAAAAGTCCGTTCGCTCGCGATTAAATTAAATACAATAATTAATTAAGAGAGACAATTACATGAAACTATCATACAAAAGAGTAAAAGATTTTGCATATGCAAACACAAGCCTGACGTTTCTTTATTAATTTTATAAAATGAGTTAGATCGGAAATGTGTGTGTATGTAGGAGAAGGGGGGGAGGAAGAGAGAGTGTTCTATTTTATTTTCCAGTAACCGCTCATTTATTTTTGATGATAAACATTATTTGTTTCAAAAGGACAAATATTGTGATATATGATAAACAGAATATTTTTTAAGATCGTATCTTTCAGAATTTTTAAGTTATAAATTCTTAAAAAAATGGAACTACACACCTATTGTTAATACGTAATTGTAATAGTCAAGATGAAGACGCATCCAGTGATCTGATTGTGAGATAGTATGATCTTTATGTGACCTTAAATACCAAAAATCCAGAAATGTGTGCACATAGATATGAAATAATTAGAAAGATGAAGGATTAGCGAAGAAAAGTTATTTTAATAAATTTGCAAAATGATATTTGATCATTATTTACATTTGCACATACATATGTATATTATTAAATAAAATGTATTGTTTATACATTATGACTACTTATAGGTATCGAGCACAGGTACACGTTCGCGTAGCGCTACTCCTGATTCTTTAGATTCAATTCGAGGCGCTACGCCAGAAAATACATCACCTCCTTCACCTCCCACTGTGATCGAGGATGCACACCAAAAGTAAATTTATTATATTGTGATTAACTTTTTATGTGGTATTTCTTATTCTTGTAATGTAATTTCTCTCTAATTGTTTAAAGCGCTTGCGTCCCGAGTTTTGTTTCTATATTTCATCGAACGTCAAATGAAGGAAAAACAATGGTTCGTCGAACACCAAGTGTCCCCCAAACAGCTCTCAATTCCATGCCAGTAACTGCCTCGACTTCTGTATCCGTACCAGAAATTTTCAGGAGAACTGGCAATTGGTTAAAAGGGGATGTCGCAAATGATTCTGGTATTATCACGTTTGCATTTATATTTAATAATTTCTAGACAAAGTAGTTTTATCTTAAAACTTAATATTACATATTACTACAGAAGGAATTCAGTTGACTGGCTACCATAGATTGGGAACAATACACATCACGAGACCAATTCAGAGGCATAATAATGGCGATCTTAATGATGTAACGAATTTAGATGCCGAGTCAGTTAGAAAATTGGCCGTGCCAAAAGAATCGACTCTCCGGTATTTCCGAGATAATTGAATAATTATTTCAAATTGGTTCCGAAATGTTTCTTCTAATCGTTATCTCACATTTTAGACGGAGTGCAGGAAATCACACGGCAGTAACGCGAAGTCACAGCAGTTTATACGGCTTAACTAGACCGGCGGACGGAAATTTAATAGCTCGTCCATTAAGTCGTACATCATCACATGGGCATCTTAGTTTCGAGGAGATGTGCAAAACTAATGAGGCCAAATCTCAAGTGTGGTCTTCCGATAATCTTATGACCGATGACGATTATGCTCGGCAAGATGTAGAATTATTATCGCAACGAGATTTTACGAGATTGCAGCCTCTTTTATGGCTTGAGTTAACAGCGATTTTCGATAAATATAATATACCACTTACGAGACGAAAACCCAATAAACGACGGAGGAAAAGTATATAATATAATTATACTTACTTTTCTTTTACCATGTTCTCGTGATTGTTATACATTCTGTATATTTGTAGCTGGAAATTTATTTGGCGTTTCTTTATCAACGTTGCTGCTCAGGGACAGTCAATTAACGAGTGAAGAAAATGACATACCACTAGTGTTTCAAAAGATTCTTAATGAACTGACAAAACGCGGAGTAAAAGAAGAAGGCATTCTACGTGTTGGAGGCCATAAGCAGAAAGTAAGATAAATACTGTATAATTCGGCCATTTGATCTAAAATCTCAAACAAAGGATTTGGTTTACAAAAACTTTTCTAACTTACATTCTAACTCTCATTTTTTCCTTCTTTCACTTTACATACTTCCCTTAATTTTTCTCTCTTATTCGTTCTATTATTTCTCATACTTTATTCATCTAGCACATCTTTTATTATTTCTTATTCTGTTTACATGTCATTTTATGTTCTATCCTTCTGCTTTGTCATGTATTTTGCATCTTCTTCCTTTGTTGATCAATATCAATAATATGTCTCTGCATTTCTGCACTTCCATCTCGCAATCCGCCTTTAACTACCTTTTTAAACTTTTTTCCTCAAATATTACAGTCTTTCTATCGCCATTGTGTCCTTATACTCTTAACAAGTACAGGGTGGCCATTAGGATTGTGTGGAAACTAAATGGTAATTACTTCGTAACAAATAGATCGAAGAAAATGAATCAACCGTCATTTTGTAGACGAAACTTTATTAATATATGTATGAAAACATGTGTAATATTTAAATAATTTAGATATAACATCGATCTTTAACCCCAGAGGAATAACATAAGAGGCACATTTTAAATTATTGGAAGATTTATATTAGGTGTACAAATAAGTTTTAAAGCGTTTGTAAAACAATGCTAAACGTATTTGAGAGAAAATTGCAATATATTTATTCATCAAACTATGTGCCGTCATTCTCTATCACCTGCTATCGGTTAGGCAGCTGACGGATTCCAGTAGTAAAGAAGTATTCGTCGTGCGACATAATGAACCGATTTTTGCACTTTGTCAAATGTCCGGAAGTGAATTGAAGACAAAGCATTTTGCATGGATCGGAACAAGTGACGATCTGAAGAAACTATGTCGGGACTATACGCCGGATACGCTCCAAAACTTTCCAGCCAAGCGTCAATAACGTTTCCTTGACCAATTTTGCGACATGTGATCTGGCGCAACTATCATGGAGCAACTTCACGGGGCGCAGTCCTTTGCTAGTAAATGGACGTTTTTGACTGATTTCCTCGTTCAATTGCAACAATTGTTGCTTGTAGTGATCAGCAGTAACAGTTTCACCCGGTTGCAAGAAATCATAATGCAGCATATCCTTGATATCCCACCAGACGCATAACAAAACTTTCTTCGAGTGAATATTGTGCTTCGGTCGTTGATGTCGTTGCTTGACCGGGATCTACCCAGTGTTTTTTTGCGTTTGGGATTGTCAAATCATATCTACTTCTCATCGCCTGCTTATTTTGCAGCACTTTACCCTTGGTGAAATTCGTAACGAACCGAGCCAACTTCTGCGTCGTTTTTATTACTCTGAGTCTGAACCGGTTACAGTCACACGACAAAAGCGCGGGAGAATTTCTGATTTGTAAACCAGCGGTATACTAAAAAGAAAACGCTTTAAAACTTATTTGTACACCTAATATATAGTTTTTGTACGTATGGTAATAAAATCGACAAGTTTCCTCTACAAAATGGCGGCTGATTAATTTTCTTCGACCTATTTGTTACGAAGTAATAACCATTTACATTCAACACAATCCTAATGGCCACCCTGTAGAAGGTAAGTATGTACATATAAATACACAAGATTAATTAAAGTACTTCATTATGTATATATCTTTATTTATTGAAATCGTTTAGGTGGAAATAATTTGTACGGAATTAGAAACAGATTTTTATTGTAAACCAAAGGAGATGGATAAGTTGTTTAAACGTACTCCGTGTCACGATTTGTCGGCCATTTTGAAAAAGTTGTTACGAGATTTGCCGCAACCTCTTCTTACCGTCGAGTTGATTGATGCTTTCTATCAAAGTCATGGTTAGTAGGTTATACGTACTCTGCAATATTGTATGTATGCGCTATGAAAATTATAAAGAAACAATATGTAGGTTTCAAGAATCCCAACGACTTGGTATATTCTCTTAATCTGCTGGTGCTGTTATTACCTGTCGAACATCGGTGTACTTTGGAAGCATTGCTTAATTTCCTTAAGCTGGTCATCGAAAATCAAGTGTCGAATAAAATGTCGATACACAATGTGGCAATGATAGTGGCACCGTCGCTCTTTCCACCCCGGTACGTCCATCCTCGAGACCATACCGACTTGACTGCCCAGGTCAACATGGCTGCTATATGTTGCCAAGTAACAGAGGCCTTGCTTAACAACGTTGATAAATTATGGTACGTCCCGACGGAACTTGTAAATCAGTTACGGAGGCAGTCCGAGGTGGAGAGATATCGCAAATACAAGAAAAAATATTATTGATTATGATTAGATAACGTAGATTGTTATCACGTATGCGTAATTCTTGTTACCTTCATATTAATATGTTATAACATATTAACAGATCGAGTGTTATAAGAATTATCTTGGACGACTTTTTATGTTGCGCACGTAATGTTTTGAATAATACTTACCTGCATATTATGAAATCTGCAGTGTATTTTATTTTTTTAAATAAATTCTGAGATATAATTAATGGTATCTAAACGATTGTTAATTTTCGGTAGTTATAATTATGACATACTGCATTTCACATCGCCATGATTCTAATTAGCTGTATCATATTTTTTTTCAAGGTTTGTACATGTTGTATAATAATCTATCTGAAAATACAGTAATTTTACATATAAAAATGGATTCTTTTTTATTAGATTAAAAATTGAACATGATTTTATTTTGACTTAGATTCTATCTTAAAAATATTGGTTTGTATAGGTTACAATTGCGTGAAATATTAATTTATATGCAAAAGAATACTTAAATTTTTGCATTGTATCTATAAATATCTTGTTAATTATTTATGATAAGTAACATAAAATGAGATGTGTGACAGTAAATTCATGTATCATGTAATTTTGTATGTATATAATATAATACAAGGGGCAAATATTATTGTAGGTTAAGTTTTATAATTTAATAATATCAATTACAGACTATACGGGGAAACTCGGTATTATAATTTTAATTCTGTATTCGAAACAGATATCTGTTTTGATTAATTTTTAAACGTGGCAGTTTGATGGAATCATATTCCGCGCATAAAAGTATTAAGGTTATGATTACCGAAAACTAAATATTTTATAAAATATTTTGTGTAAAAAAATTGTGAACTTTAAACCTTTATAACTCAAACAGTACTTAATGAAAACTGTTTTATTAGTATATTCCAAAATGTTGTGAAGGCTCCCGAAAAGAAATGTTTTATTAGTGTTTTGGAAAGCTCTCGAAATAAGCTATAAGAATATGCAATAAAAAGTAGGGGGTTTCGTTTAAAAAATCATCTTATTCCCCGCTTGAAACTATACAACTTTGCTATTGGACATTTTCTCCAAAATGCATTAGAAGTCCAATACTTTTCGATGACCCTGTATAACTATGGGCTGCTAGCAGCTTTTCCTACTATGAACGTAAAAAATATCTGGACAGAGCGTAAAGTACCTTTTTAGACGCGGGGAGTAGTCCCTGAGAAGAGAGAGAAGTTCACAGTCGCGTCCATTTTAGATGCCTCATATTTGGCGTCTATTTTTATATCGCACGACATTAGCTGAAACCGACATACGGGGTATCAAATTCGTTTCTGACCACCCCAAAAATTATGGTAGATTGGATCAAACTGAGAAGAAAAGTTATATACCATTATGCAAAATTCGTAATAATTATCGTGTAATTAAGAAAAACGTCTGAGCGAATAAACACACGGAGGAGCGAAAGGCCGGACTCTGCAGCATGCAAAAAGGTGTATTTGTTGACATGTCTTAGGATCCGATAGCGAGAGGGTGGAGTCACGCATCGATCGATGAAAGACAGCTTGGACACTCCACTTGGACACTTGGAGAAAAGGGAACGGGGATACTTAAAAATCGCGTTTCGATAGTGCTGTGTATATACACTCCACGTCCCAAACGGAACTAGCTACATCTCATGTGCGTGCGTCCGTGCGTGATAAAAAAAATTTTTATATTTTATAAACCATGGAACTACAAACGAAAATTCTTTTACTACAATCAACTACACACGAAATACTACCAGTTTCCTTAAAAAAATTAAATTTTGAAAAGTCGGGTGCCAGGTTCATATAGCCGGAATATCTATGTGCCTGATCCGGTACGTCTGATTCCCTCCTGAATAGATAGTACTAGTACCACATACTGCCGCGACGTGGCGACCGCGCGTTAGTCTTTCTCGTAAGTAAAAATTGTCCTGTATTATTATAGTATAATAGAAATATCTGGTCCAATATCTTTTACATCTGGTTTCGTAATGTTCTTACAATAACGACTCAAGGTGCAAAAAGGAATATCGAAATCTTTTACAACACTTCTTATGGACCTGCCTTTTATTTTTATACTTCTGATAGCTTTTAACATTACGTCAGAAGAAGTCCTGGATCGGTTAGTTTTTCTTTTATAATTTCGCATTTCAATAATTTCATATAAATGAAAAGAATAAACTATTAGATAAATTGACTTAACTAAATTAATTGAAAGACTTACCATGTAGAGAACTACATTATACGTACTTAACCTGAAATAGGTAGAATACGTGCGCCAAGACACGTGGCGAGTTTGACTTTGACATGTTAACTTACCCCATTCTTTTTGTGTCAACATACCCCAAAGCTAGTTAAGTTCTTTCGGATCATTATATATATAAAATACGATGTAAATAATACTATTAAAAAGTTCATTAAAATGTTGTCAACTAAATATATTTTCGAACTGATAGCAATTAATATAAAATCATTCTACGTTTATCAATAATATAAAGACATTTAGGAGATTGTGAAAATCTACCTCCATAGTTAAGAATACAAATTAACGTCATTATTTCATAACTATCGTTCATAATAAAATGCAATTTACGTCTTATATGTTAAAGATGGTTTTGCACTCCGCACTTGCTTGATTCTGCAATTAAAAAAAATAATATAAGCAATGTGTCATCCTCTAAATTATTATGAAAATTCATAGATTAGGTATTAGGCATTAGGCATTAGGTATTATTATAGTAAAAGTAACAGAATAAAAATAGGACCTAGTTCTATGTGGCATTTTATTTCCGGTGAACAAAACTGAATAACTGTTACTTTCGCACTCAATTTATTTCAACCATCAAAAAGTAATCTTAATTTTTGTTTTAGTTTATTTCACAGAATATAATTCACGTACTTCCTGCTTGATAAATAAGATTATTTAATTTGATTAAAGAATGACGATAAAAATATAGATTTTGGTCGTTTCGAAATATGAACTTGGCGCGCATCGACCGCTAGTTATTGCGTCTGTCATTACCGTGGCGCTACTTTCGAGGTCGATCGCAGAGATAGCGGAGTCGCGAGTCACGCGTCATGCCGCCGGCGTATACGAGCAATACGAGTATAGTAGTGCGCGCTTGTGCTCTTAGCAGTTAAATAGGAGTTTATGATGTGTGTGTGTGTGTCATCGCATTTTTTAAAGAGAAAAACGAATTTTGTCAATTGTACTGTTTCTCGTCAAGTTCAACAAATGTAACTCTTTCTTTTTCTGTCCCTTTCTTTTCTCTCTCCTCTCTCTCCTCCCTCCCTCCCTCCCTCCCTCACGCACGCACGCATGCACGCACACATACACGCTCGCGCGCCCTCCCTTTCACTCTCTTTTTTTCTGTCTTGCCTCCCTTCTGTCTATCTATCTATCTATTCATCTATGTATCTAGTAATCTATTTATCTATAAATATATCTTTCTGCTCATCTACCTGTCGATTTGTTCATCTATTTATTTATCTGTCTTTCTTGGTGAAACATATAGATTTCTTCTGTATTGAACAACCAAAGACAGAAGTGCACTTTCGATATTAAAAAGACAGCGAAAATAAGCGAAGCAGACGAGATAAAAGAAGAGAGAGAGAGAGAGAGAGAGGGAGGGAGAGACAAGTGAGAGGGAAAGAGATAAGCAGGGAGATTCGCGAGGAAAAGATGGGAGCGAGTGAGGGAGGGAGAGAGAGAAAGGGAGAGAGGTGTATATATATATGCATGAATGTCATTGTATGTGTGTCGAGCCCGCGCATGTGCGCGCATGTATGTGTGTCGGATAGTGATGAGTGGTAGAGTGCAACGAGGACACACCGATCAGTCGCGCTTTCGCGAGAGGTGAGGTTAAAACTGACGTCGTTCGGAAATTCGTGACTGTTCTCCGTGCCCTTTCCCTCCTCGGGGGGACTTCTGTGCGGCATCAACGACTCCTCGACTCGCGTCTCCTCGCGTATACGTACGTGGTGCGACGAGAGAAGGAAGTAAAGTGACGTGTTACACGTGCATTGAGTGTGTTAAGTGCCATCCGAGTCCGACATTTCGAGGACCGAAAGATTCCTGCTAGGATCTCCACGCTCTACTCCCATTATGTGTGAGTACAGTCTCCCGATATATCTGTGTTGTTTATGGTATACCGACACTGTGCTTGAGCGTTGTACTCGAGCGAGTCGTTTAAGATGGCAATTAACCCAATTCCAATTGGGTAGATCGATTCTCCATTCTGCCTGAGCGTGTGGAAAGGATCGATTCAATTTTCTCCTCTTTCCATCTTTCCTCTTCTTTTCCCTCTTACCTTTTACCTTTCTCTCCGTGTCTCTCTTCCTCTCCCTCTCTCTCCTTCCCTCCCTCTCTCTCCGTCTCGCGTACATCTGCTACTCATTTACTCGCCACGACCTTCGAGCTAGGACGCATCCTATGATGGGAATGTTTCGAACTCGCAGGTACGCGGTACAACTCTCTTGGAGCTTGAGACATTTAAAATCTTATAATTTATAATAAATTTGTAACAACGGAATAATTATAGCACCATCTAAATCATCGAAGATTTGAAATTAAATAATATATAAACATATAATTAACAATTAGGGAATAGTAAATACATATACATTAAGTAAGTAAGTAAGTAAGTAGTAAATACATATACATGTACATATCTATTTTTTACAAAAATATGAGGCATAAAATAAACATAAACCCATTCATGTTTATTTGCTGCTTATGTTTACATAATGTTACTAACAATGATAACATATTACAAAAAGAAAAGCGCTCGTTATAAACAAATGCTGTGCGAATAAATAAACGGTCAACTCACGAGCTATTAAAAATATTATTATATTATATTTCCAAAATTTCAAGTTTACTCATCAATACAAAAATTGTTTGGACGTTTCGATCTCAGGAATACGCTGTTATGATAGTGCCCCAATTATTAAAAATTTTTGTGTATGGAAATTTTGTGTAGCTTACAATATACCTTGTCATCTGAAGTACTTAGTACATAGTTTAAAGAAACAAATAGAAAAATCTAAACCATTTAATAATATCTTAAATTTACGAATAATAGAAAATTCTTAATATTCTAACAACGTTGGAGCGTTGTCAAGGTGCAATGAATATTGCATCAGTTAAGAAAAAATGAAAATTATTGTACGATTCTTTCAAAATCTTAAATTTCTTAAATGGAACACCCTATTGTTTATTATACTATCTTATTCTACTAACAAGTAATATGAACAACTGTTGTCTGAAACATTTTTTGATCTGCCTAATAATTTGTTAGATATTCCAGAGAAAATTGATAACTTTTTCTATATTTAAGTAGATTATGATATCTCAATAACTGTTTGTCGGAGGGAAAAGTAGTGCAGGACTTTTATATTTGGTCTCAGGAATATGCTGTTGCAATAGTGCTCCAATTATTGAAAATTTTTGTATATTATAACATACACATAATTTCCATACACCATAGTGCTCCAATTATTGAAAATTTTTGTATATTGTAAGCTACACAAAATTTCCATACACAAAAATTTTCAATAATTGGGGCACTATCACAACAGCGTATTCCTGAGATCAAACCAAGTAAAAAAGTTTTGCACTACTTTTCCCTCTGACAGACAGTTATCAAGATATTATAAGCTAAATATTGAAAAAGTTATCAATTTCCTATTAAATATCTCAAAAAGTATTAGGCAAATAAAAAATATTTCAGACAACAGTTGTTAATATTACTTGTTAGCAGAATAAGATAGTATAATAAACAAAAGGGGGTTTTATTTAAAAAAAAGTAGAGGTGATCTTCAAATCTCCGAAGCGCCTCCACTGTTTGAAAAAAAATATTACTAATATGTTATGGTTTCCTTGATATAATGCAACTTTCGTAACTATAATTTTTCCATATCTCTAAAAATAGCGGAAATATTCGAAGTGGACAAAGTTATTGCCTCATCGTGTATATGTACCACCTACGAGAATAATAATAATTTTTTCAATAATAACATTTTCATACTTTTGAATTGACTGATACAATTGTAATGCCCGTATCAGACCAAAATCGGCTTGGCTTATTTTATTCATACGGATCCACATTACTACGAAATAAATTATGAAGCATGTTATTCAAGTTGTATTATTTAAAAAATGAGTAATATTTTAAGGACAAATGGAATTTTGAGATAAGAAATGTTAGTAGCGCCATCACTGACTTATAAGACGGAATTAATCCAAACAATTTAGTTTTTAAGGTTTTCGTGTTTGCTGATCAAAAAACTGGTATCATATTTGTAAAATAAAAACTGGCGAAAATAATATACAAAATAACATCGACAATAAACAAAAAAATTTAGAAAATCAATATTTTTCTCATGAAATAAGTTATTCTTTTATTTTAAATTTTTTATTTTTATTTTTTACACATACGTACGCATACATATGTACGCGCAAACTTGCGCGCGCGGCATTGTTATCAATTTCTGAGAAAACTAATTATTATAAATAATTACTTTCCCATTTTTTTTGGTAAATAAACTTCTTTGGTTTATTCACGAATTTGAAGAAGATCGTGTAGTTCTTTTACAAGTAATATTAACAATCCCTTTCTTTTCATTACTCCTAAATTTTCCCGGGGGGCGTTAAAGAGTTAAAATAATAAAATAAAAATTTCTCTAATTTAAACTAAATAAAGCAAGTAGTGTAAAATTTATATAAATAAAGCAATTGATTGAAAAGTTGCTAAAATATTAGTATTAAGTAATATTAGTAGTTTTATAATAGCATGACAATTACTGAGGGCACAATATAATGTATAAAATATTATACTGACATTAAATGTTATAATATGCATGCAAAATATATAGATGTTAATTAATATAAAAATAAAATTGTAAATTGTCTTATACAGCACACATAATTATATTTATTATATTACTATTACTTATAGATTGGTGCCTTATACAGAATTTGTAGTTACATATTTGTTTTCCTCACACATTAATACTAATTGTGCAGTTTGTATGCGCAGAGATTTATATATGTAGCTTTTCTATTCTTCAGGTGTTCGGTTCTTCTGTATACTTAACATATATTAATATATTAATGAACGATCAAATATTGAACGCATAATCTAAATTTTATAGTAAATATTATTTTAAATATCTATATTTTTTGATAAATATAACGTATATAACTTCTATATAATGTGATTATAACAATAAACATTATTATTAATTTAGTAAGAATACTCTTAAAAGTCGCCAGCAATAAAAATCAGTGATGTTATTTTTATTAATAATAGATAAATAGTACGTACGCGTCTATATGTAATGCTTCCGTTTATTTTGATAATATATTTATATACGAATGTATACAATTATATATATAATACGATTATATATATATAATCAGGGTTGGGAAAGTTACTTTTTAAAAATAACTAGTTACCGTTACTCGTTACTGAGTCAAAAAAGTAACTAGTTACCGTTACTAGTTACTGATTCTCAAAAGTAACTCGTTATCGTTATCGTTACTTAAAAAGTAACGATTCGTTACTTGCTCCGTTACTTTTTTAATGCTAAATCGAAATCAGACTAAATAGAAAATTTACTTATATATTTTTTGTTAAAATATTAATAAGATAAATAAAGTAAGGTGAAGTGGGGTGATGTGAAATACGTTTTTTTGGAGTCCCACAAAAGTGTGAAGAAATTGAATTTTTGGTCAGTTAATAGCTCTATAGTAGAGGGTGAATTATTCTACGTTTCTGTAATCGCGGATTTTGAATATTTTGATTTAAAAAAAATGGAGAAAAAATTCAAAGGTGTTGATTTTTGAACTTTTTCCAAATCGTGGGGTGATGTGAAACAGCAACAAAATTTGCGTCTAAAGGGCATAAACGTAAACATAACACATATACAGGGTGTACCTAAACTGGCGATAAATATTTTAATGACAAGTACTTTGTAACATTTTGAGACGAAAATTTTAATACGAAAAAGTCGAGGCTATAATAGTTTTCAAATGGGAACAGTTTAAACATCTCGAATAGCAAAGCTAGAATTTCGCGCGCTCAGGGATGGCAAAATGGTCAGTGATAAAGGTGCTTTCTTGAACCACACGTCTTTGACATTAATGAAATTAGTGTAAAAATGTATGCAAGAGTTTTATTAAGAAACTATTTCTGTTTATTTGCAATGAATTTTAGAAATAGTTAAAAATTTTTTGTTCAATAGTTCAAATCGATATTGATTTGTGTCAACTGTCATAAGCATATCTATTTGGTTAAATTGCGACAAATTTCATCGTGGAGATTTACCAATTTAACCAAATAGATATGCTCATGACAGTTAATACAAATCAATAT